AAAAAAAAAAAAACACTATAAGTTTACAACATTGAAAGAAGATAGTATCTACAGACTAGATTTTGATACGGTCAGATCGAAGACCACGAGACGACGTTGTGTAAAAAACTATATAGGCGACGCTGTGGAAAAACTATATTGTTGTATTTCGACTTGAATGTGTCGATTTTAACACGAGTAAGTGGAGAAAAGGCATTAAACATAGGGAGGGTCTACGTGTTTGAGCAAGAGTTAGAGTCGCACAAAAAATTCAGCAATCAACATGAAAAGGTTTCGTACCAATTTAGAATATCCTTTTGAATTCATATTACAAATAATAATTGATAGCCATAGAATCAGAACAGAACTTAGGGTGAACAAAACTTAGGGTGTGATCATCTAAAAAAGTTGGATAAAAATTTGACAAAGTTGTTTGTAGAAAAAGTGAGATGAACTATGAATGTGAATGAACGATCAATGTGAACGGTATGAGAAAATTGTAATGAAGTTAACGTGACATAAAAGTAACAAAGTATTAACTAATAAGTAAAAAAGTATTAATTAATAAGTTCGGTAGTTAGAGATGAAATGAAACTAGCAAAATATTACTCAAACAAAAATGAAATGAAACTAGCAAAATATCAACGACCGTAGTTTACGTAGAACTAACGAAAACCTAAAACGGGAAAGGTAAAATAAAGATTCATCCTCTATTACTGTATTTTCCTAACAATAGCCCTAATCTTTGAACAACACTTGTTTCTTACATTAGCAAGAAAAAAGTGTTATTTTCCTTTTCTCCCGATGATTAGGTAGAGGAGGAAAATAATACTGCAAACTGTTCAAGCACTAAGGACATACTTATCAAAAGAAAACCACAAACACAACATTTTCCTAACCATCTCAAACCGATATGAAATGAAACTAGCGAAATATCAAAGACCGTAGTTTCCATAAACTAACGAAAACCTAAAACGTGAAAGGTAAAATAAAGGTTCATCCCTCTACTTCTGTATTTTCCTAACAATAATCCTATTTTTTTGAACAACACTTGTTTCTTACATTAGCAAGAAAAAAGTGTTATTTGCTTTATTCCCCTTCACGAGTAGATTACGTAAAGGAGGAACATATTACTGCAAATTCTTCAAGTACTAAGACCATTACAGGGTGAGTAAGACTAAACAAGAATATTTAACTCTGATAAAGATTCAAGGAAACCAGATTGCAGGGCAGCTCCATTAGTAGCTCTCCGAAGTTTCCAAAATAGGACTACTGGAGCAATGTTGTTAGAAACATTACATGGAGAAACTGCTTTTTCTTTTTAATCTTCTTTTTCAACATTAACATCATTACATCACAAAGACAGAATCGTATACAAATAGTACATGTACATGACGATTCCAACTTTTAATCATGTTCAAGATTTCCAACAATAAGTAAAATAGGACTTTGCATTGGGTCCAAATTTTTCAAAAATGTTAGATACAATCTAAATACTTAGCACTGGACCCAACTGTTCAAAATAAGACTTGGCATTGGATCCAAATGTTCAAAACAATGCATCAGCTTCGACCAGATTCAAAGCAATATATTTGTACCATCCCATTAGTCATATCTGATAGTAGAATACTTCTGTTGTGCTAATAATTAAATATAAACAAGAGCGAGGATGAAAAGGCAGGCTCGTATTTTATAATCTCAAACATCATAAACACACTATAACTATATAATCAACCACATGAACAAAATGTTATCTCATATACGGTAAGAAGAAAGGGCTCGTGAAACTAACAAGAATCAGTTGGTGCAGTTTGAATCTATTACAGCATTCTTTAATTTAATTTCAGAGCAGCAATTACATTTCAGTAGGACTTGAGGACATTTTTCAGAGTTTTGAATTCTATCATCACAAGCAGGGGATGGTGGTGTCAAGCCCAAGTTACTCACAATTTCACTAATCTAATAGCCATTATATCAACTTCCTGAAACACCATATGGAAGAATCTGATTAATACCTAATAAAATAAAGACAGCCAGAAGTTAAAAATCACCACTTTACACCGATATAAACACGGCTCACGGCAGACCTTCAAAAGGTTACATATGAAAATCGAGTCTGGTTAATATTATTATACAAAATTGTTTCCAATCATATAGCCCAATAGTACCAAACGACTGTGATTCACAAATTTCACTACTATAAGACCAGCAAACCAGCGGACAGAATGCAGACACAATTAAAGCAAATTAATGAAAGAAAAAAGAAACCTCTCACTTGAACTCGAAAGTTGGTGGTATCGGCGAGTCAAAGCTCTCCAGAACCTCCGTCTTCACGCCACTCTTATTCTCAGCTTCCTTCTCGCCGCCAAACAAGCCTCCAAACCAGGAAGACGAAGATGAAGATGATTGTGCCGGTTCTTGAGGGATCCCACCGGGAAGATCCTCAACGAAAATCGGCGCCTCCTGCTGGGCACTCATGACCTTATTCAACATAATACCCGCTCCCTCGATCAGAGCTAGAAGCACCCCGCCAAAGAGAGCCGAGCGCGAGGCGGCGCCAATACCCTGGCGCATCTGGAGGAATCCGCCGGTGGCGGCGCCGGCGATGATGGAATTCCATGGATCTTCCTTTTGCCTCATGTAAACCATGGAACAATCAAAGACAGAGAAGAGGCCACCCCACACGGCGAAGCTGCCGCCGATCCGGGGGGCGTTCATGCGCACGGCCTGAGAGCCGCCAACAAGGCGAGCGCCCTTTGGCGAGCTGTAGATGCCTTTGAGGAAGTGGAAAGCGGAGCCCCCGACGGCGCCCATGCCGAAGGCGCCGCCGATGTCGTCGAGTATGCGATCGGGGCATGGCTCGCGGGAGGTCTCCGGGGTTCCCATTTTTTTATTTTTTATTTTTATGAAAAATTGCGGAAGGAAAGGAGGGGTTTAAGCCTTTTAGGAGGGTTTTGGATTAGGGCTTGGGGAAGGGGTTACTTTATTTTATGCGTTTTATGCACCTTTTTTTTACATATTAATTAAAATTGGATGTTTTAATTCAATTTAAATAGTTTTATTTGGTATCATTTTTTTTAGGAAAATGCTATTTGTACCGCAGGGGTTGTACCGCATGGTGTACCCTTCATTGAAAACGTATTCTGAGAATACGTTTTTCAATTAAATTATTTGAAAAACGTATTCTGAGAATACGTTTTTTAACCAAAGTGTAAACCCTGCGGTACAAGCTGCGGTACGTGTAGCATTGTCCTTTTTTTTATTATATGTAATGGATCAAATCTACTTTTGTTATAAAACTAGAGAGAAAGAGAGAGATTAGAGAAAATATTTCTCTTAGGTGCAATTTTCATTATAACTGAAG